AAACATTCATTCATTTAATAGATTCATGGCATTTTAGGACACATCAAGTTCAACCCCTTAATTTTGCAGGTGAAGAAACTGAGGGTCAAAGAAGGAAAGTAAGTTTTCCAAGGTCACCAAATGAGCCAGTGGTAGGGCCAGGACTAGAACCAGGAATCTGGGGTTTCATTACACCATTCGTTCATTTAATGACTATCTAACACTTCCTATATGCAAAGCCTGCTACCAGGTGCTATGGGTAAAAAGAGAAAGAACCAGAAAAGGCCTGGTTCCTGTCTGCAAGGAAATATAATCTAGGAGGGAAATCAGTTATATATACATGTATATAAAACATATACAAATGTATGTATATGTATATATATATATATATATATATATACACACACACACATACATACACATTGTTTTTACTGATTGTTTAGACTTAAAGCGATATAGAAAATGTGGTTAAACATATATTAGCACATACATGTTTGTATACACAATGCGCATGTGTGCATAAAGATGTATGTATATACACATAAACACGTGTATATATGGAATAGTTGTCTTTCAAGGCCTTACAGGATGATGGCCACGTGTATAATACAAAATGCTACACCAGTTCATCGGACACAGAGAGAAATCCCCTCTAATTAGGGGTGATCTAGGAAGGCTTTGTGGAAAAGGGGCCAAAGAAAGAGGAAGGAGTGAGATGCTGCTGTAGGTCATGGGGAAAAGGGTGAGAAAGTAATGAGTAAGGGGAGAACTAAAGATGGAACACTATGGAGTAAGCAGGAGTCCTGGGGACAGGAAACGATCTGCTGACCTAGGGTTGCAGATGGAGTTCATACCCAGTCTCCCTGTTTGGTGCAACCCGCTCAGCCCTGGGACCACCATTGTCATTGAAACAGAGGGGATCCCAAAGGTCTTAGTACAGTTTTAACCATTAAACCCTCTTTATATTTGGGGGTTACTTCAAAGTCTACAGACTGGTTTACTGACATTATTTCATTATGAGATGAGTACTCTAGGTATTCCTATTCCCACTTTACACCTGAGAAGATGGAGGCTCAGAGAGATTCAGTGCTTTGCTCATGGTCACACAGCCACTAAGTGTCAGAACCGGGATACTGCCCAAGGGGGTGCCTTCCACAAGACCCACATTGGACCTTTACACTGTAGATTTATCCCTCTCTGAGCCCCTTCCTGCCCTCTTCATAACTTCCCCATCCTCTGTCTTCTTCTCTACAAATCCTGTTCTCTTCCATAAACCTGCCAGTCTGGGCTATGGTGTTCATTAGAAAGGGAGTTCATGGGGGGATGTGGTGTTCTCCCAGGTCTGACCTGGAGCATTGTTAAGCCTTGGTTCTGTCCTCTCATAATAGGAGAAAACTAGACTAGATGTTCTTTTCTTTTTTTAGGCAATTGGGGTTAAGTGGCTTACCCAGGATCACACAGTTAGTAAGTGTCAAGTGTTTGGTCTGAGGCCAGATTTGAACTTAGGTCCTCCTGACTCCAGGGCCGGTGCTCTATCCACTTCACCACCTAGCTGCCCCTAGACTAGATGTTCTTGAAGGTCTCTTTGAGCTCAGACACCGTATGGTTCTTGGATTTCTTATGCATGTTTTAATGGCGGCTTTCTGATAGCAACGCTGTAACTTGCAGGTGAGATTACTTTTTTGTTTTTTTTCGGGGGGCTAGGCAATGGGGTTAAGTCACTTGCCCAGGGTCACACAGCTGTAAGTGTTATGTGTCTGAGGCCGGATTTGAACTCAGGTCCTCCTGAATTCAGGGCCGGTGCTCTATCCACTGTGCCACCTAGCTGTCCCTACAGGTGAGATTATTAAGGGCTGACACCCACAATTCACCAAATATATGTTAAGGATGTGTAAGGCCACACTGAGTTCCCAGGGCCCCAGGACCTATCCCTAAGGAGCCTACAGTCTAGTAAGGGAGGTAAGACAGGTACACCAATAATTGTCATAGACAAGATACTGCCTGCACTTGATGACCTCTGGGTCACTTTCAACTCTTTGATTCTGAGATTCCAGCTCTATTACACAAATCAGAACATTGCTAACTTTAAAGGAGAGATCTTAACAAAGTGCTATTAGACTTGGGGAGAGAAGAATCATTTCCACTTGGAGGTGATCAGAGAAGGTTTCATGGAGGAGGTGATAACTGAAGGAAGGGATTTTAACATGACGACGGTTGTCATCATTACCACCAGCAGCAGCAGCAATAGCATCACTACCACTACCACCATCATCCTCTCCTGGCAGTAAGCAGGATTCCAGCAAAAGGATCCTAAGAGTTGGGCTCCCCAGGAGGAATACAGTCTCCAAACTCAAGGCTATTTGGGTCAGGGAGAAGTACCTGCAGGTCTGTGATGGAGGACAAGATGTGAGCCACAGGGCTGTCTATCCTGGTTGAGCCCCCAGTGGATTGTTTCAGTCTGTAGGAATCTTGGCCTGGCCTGGGTCATCTCAAGTCTGGTAGGCCACCCCAGGGTCAAGGTAGTGCTGGGTTCATTGTCTAAGGGGGACTGGGGCTCAGGTTAGGAGCTAGAGCTAGGCTCCTTCCTCTCTCCATCCACCAAATGTTCTCAAAACCCAATAGGGAACTTGGGGGCCACTGTTTACTCCCTGAGGCACTACAGATGAGACAAAGAGAAACAGAAACACAGACATGACTGGAGCTGGATAGAGATGATAGATAGATGAAAGAGAGGGGAAAGGAATGGAGGAAGAGGAGAGGGAGAGGGAGGAAGGGAGACAGAGAGAGAAATAGAAACTCATAAAAAGACAGAGATATTGCAAAGAAAAAGAGACAGTGATAGAGAAATAGATAAAAATAGGGGGAGAGAGAGAAATATTAAGAGATCAGGGGAAGGAAGTGAGAATTCATTCCACTGAGAGACAAGACAGAGAGATGGAAAGGAAAAGACTGAAGGGAGTGATTTGAGAGGGGGAGGGAGAGAGGGAGGAGAAACAGGGTTCAGAAGGAGAGGAGTTGAATGTGGAAGCCCAGCAGCTAACCGACCCAAGCCTGTAAGCAGGGAGTGAGCTGGCAGCTGTTTCCATGGAGATAGGAATTCACTCACTAGGAGAGTGATGAGTGACTGCAGCCCCAGCCCTTTACCTCTGGGGCTTGGGGTCCTTTCTTCCTCCAAAGGATCTTGTTCCAGCTCTGCCAGCCCACTCTAGCCCCACCCAGCCCAGGCATGGGGGCATGGAGGATTCGTGAGGAAAACAAGAGTGGGGATGGATGGATTGAGGAAAGGAGATGAGAAGGGCTGGGGTGTATGGTGTCTAAGGTACGCTTGTATGAGGCCAGCTTTGACTGTCCCCTCCTCCCCTAGGACCCATTCTCTCCAGGACCAGGAGTCTTCCCTCTCCCCCCTAGGACTTGGTGACTTTGGCCTTGAGAATAGGAACGAAGGAGAGCTCTCAGTGTCCAATCTGGGAAGGGAAGAGAAGCAGTGACAGGTAGGGGAGGCAGACAACACACCATGTAGAGAGCTAGAGGAAGGGTGATGGGGAGAGGGGAGGTGGGGAGAGGAGAAACAGGGAAGTAGAGGAGAGGGAGGGTGGGGCAGAGAAGAGAAGCAGGAAAGGAGGGGGGGAGAAGCATGGCCAGGAGGAGGAAGGGAACCAGGGAAGAAGACGCTGAGGAGGCAAACATGGCTGCTTGCTCTTCTTTCCAGCCTTTGGTTCTGAAGCTTCCAATCCCACTTCCCACCAAATGACCTTTACTTTTCTGTTTCTAAGGGATCTGACCTCTTCTGCTCCCAACCCACACCCTATTATCATGAGTGGTGGGGGTAAATGCTGGTGGGGTAAAAGGAGGCCTCTTAGGAGACCTCAGGGGACGTTGTGGAACTGGAAAGGATATCAGGGGTGGGGGAGGGGTGTATAAATAAATTGACTTCTTGGTATTCTTATTAGGTTGAAGACCCCTGGGGTGAGCTATAGGGGACAGAAGTTTTGTAGGTTGGGGATAATGACAGGTAACTTTAAAGTGAGCCTGAGGTTGGGGGCATCTCCTCTTTCTCTCCCTTATCTCCGGATGACCAGAGATGCATTGGATGGATGTGAGTGTTCGAGGTGGGCTAATGGTTCTAAGAGGGATTGGGGGGAGTCCATAGGCTGCCTTATAGAAAGGAGCCCAGTACTGGACTCAAATCTCCGCTGACTGTCTCCATAACCATGGAGAGCAGGATTGCTGTCCTTGGCACTGGCCAGAATCAAAACTATCTTCCTCTTCCTGCTCCTTTTCCTTCTCTTCCTCATCACTGTCCTCTTCATCCTCATTCCCAAAAGCATTTGTGAAGGGCCCTTGGTTTTGGGGAGCTTCTATTCTAAGACAGAGCCAGAACGACAGAAACAGGAAACCAGGGGCTGTGCATACACAGGCAAGCAGGTTTTAAGTCTCTTAAGTCCCTTTCAGGATGAGGATCTGACTAAGGTCAAGTGTTTGGTGGAGAAGAGGGGGGAGATTTCCACAATCAGAGTGGATGGGGTAATGGCAGGTTGTCAGTTCTTCTCCGGTCAATCCAGAACAACATCAAGAAACAGGAGATTTCAATAGTCATTTAAATGAGGTGAGGTGAGTTGATAACAAAGGCTTTGCAGGGTCCACACAGGTTTCTGTTCCTAGAAGTCAGTTAACAAACATCTATCAAGTGCTGACTACGTGCCAGATAATGGGCTGTGTGCTGGGGACACATAAAAAAGGCAAAAACATGGTCCCTGCCATCAAGGAGTTCACATTCTAGTGGGAGAAAACACGTACACAAATAGGTAGGTACAGGATATATAACAAAAGTAAATTGAAGGTGCCTAGGGAAAGGCAGCTCACTGAATAACCACTTCCCATGAACTGGATGGAGTCACGCCTCCACAGTTTGAAGAGAAGGTTCTGGGGTGACTCTGGCCTTTGGGAGTAGCAGAGGTAATGAATCTCTTTTCTCCTCCCTCCCTGGCTGCCTCGGGGACCTGGTCCTCCCTTTCCTCCAGCTCTATGCCTGGTCCTGGGCTGTATGATCTTCCCCGATGGCTGGGATGCAGAGACCATCCGGGATATGTGTGGGCAGAAGACAGGGAAGTACTCTCTGGGGGACTGCTCTGTGCGCTGGGCATACATCCTGGCCATCATTGGCATCCTCAATGCCCTCATCCTCTCCTTCCTCGCCTTTGTGCTGGGTAACCGGCAAAGCGACTTGCTGCAGGACGAACTCAAGACAGAGAGCAAAGGTGAGTGGGCAGGGACACATGGTCTGGGGCGCTCGCCACTGGCCGAGCTATTGTCGACGTAGAAGGGTTAATCTGTACTCCAGGAGCTCTGAGCTCTGAGGAGAGCTCAGAGGATAAAGGTGGGAGGGGAGTAGGGGAGGTTGGGGAGTCGGGCCATTCATGTAGCGCTTGTCTGCCTGCCCAGAGATTCATTTTAGAGAGGAAAACAGTATGTCTCCCTCGGCCTGACGAAGGTAAGCCTAGGGGGGGCTTGGATCACTTGTGCACTGGGACCATCCCCGCTCTGAGCTCTCATCTGAGGGGGGCGTAGCAGCGGTGCCCTGAGGCTCTGTCTTAGGGTCTGATCAAAAGGCCAGACTAGTCCCCGGAATGGAAATGTTACCACCTTGATTTGTGAGTCCGAAGACCCGGGTTGGGATCCTGGGTTGTCCCATTGACCGCTGTGATTAAGTCACTTCCCAGGATATCTGCAAGGGACCTTAGAAGTCATTCAGCCCACACCCTTCATTTTTCAAATGAGGAAATGCACATATACAGAGAAGGAGTGATGTGCCCGATGTCACACAGTGGCCGAGCTGAGATTTGAACCTAGGTCCTCTGACCCCGACACATCTCTCTTTTCTTTGGACCAAAGCTGCTGCTCTCTGGGCCTGCTTCCTCATCTGCAAAACAGGAATAATAACATCTGCACTACTTATGTCATAGGCTCAAATAAGTGGTTGTGATTTTTTTTTCTGGACTAGTGATTTCATCAGAGCAGGGAACTCGATGTGAGAGAGCTCCCCGTACCAAAACAGCTAGAACACCTCTGTGACCCCGAATCTTTCCAAGTTGTGTGGGGACACTGGGAGGGGAAGGGACTTAAGGTCACACAGCCAGTATTTGTCAGAGGCAAGACTTGAACCCAGGTCTTTCTGACTCTGAGGCCAGCACTCTTATCGATTGCACTAGGCTGCTTCTCCAATGTTGGCTCTCAAATGACATGATGTATGGAAGCAGAAGGCTCGATAAACCTAAATGCCAAGAGAAATGGAAGCTATTATCATCACAAGATTTCTCAGAAAGGGTCGGTAGGGTCTATCTCATTCTAACCCAGGACGATCTGGTTTTGGCCATCTTTCAGGAGAAGCCCTGGAATCCTTCTAGTCACTCACACCTGAGATTTCTTTGCCTGGAAGCTGAGGCAGAATGGCTGAGCTAAATTTATCCTTTGTATGGACTCTTCTATCATCTTAGCTCTCCTGGCCCACTGAGTCTCCTCTTCTTCCTCCCCACTCCTGGTCTCCAAGTGCTTAGCTGCTCTGGCCCACAAGTCAGCCATAGACAGGTCCTGGTGTTCCCTCTTGGGTCTCTCTCCCTTTCCTATTCTGTAGCTAGTTTTATCCGTGGGCTCACAGCATATTCACTTTCCACTCTGACCCAAGCTACCTTTCCTTCTCCTAAGTGTTCAATCAGCCAGCCAGTCCACGCAGCTTCAGCAGCCCCTAGACACTCTGTCCACTCACCCTGCACCATAATGGACTTGAAATCGTGAGCTATCTCCTCCAAGAAGTCCACCAAGCTAACTCTTGATTCTTTGAACTGACATGGCAAAAGGGACATGGGCAATCCAAAACCCCAGATGAGGAAAAAAAAAATAGATTTGCTTTTGGAATGGAGTGAATTATACCTGCTGGGCCTTGAAGCATAGAACATAGACCATTAGAGTTGAGAGTGACCTTAGAGATTGGCCAGTGAATCCAAAGCCCTCATTTTATGGATGAAGTATTGAAACCCAGAAAGAAGTTATTCAAGTCACTGAGTTAATTAGATCTTGATTCAGCACATACCTCACCATCCATTCTCCCTCTACCCTGAGCCTCACCCAAGCCTCTCAGGATCCTCCCCAACTATTTTTTTTATTTTGGAGGAGTAGGGAAGGTTTATTAAATATATTATACAACAAAAGTCAGATTTTTTTTCTAAAATAATCTTGCACCATTAAATAAATGAAACTCCAAAAATGTCTCTTCTGCAACACAGAGGAAAACTGTACAGTTACTCAAAGCTGCTTCTGCTCATGTCACTATTTCTATAAAATGACATATCCCCTTGTCAATATTAGTGTACTTAGATATTTCCTCTGGACGGTGGAAGGCAGGGTCTATACAATCTCTGTTCTCTATACTAGATATTCCTTTTAGATGATAATGGTTGAGGCAGGGATGTGCTGTAAGTGTTTAACAACCAGCTCTATGGGGGGGGAACTACATTCTACACACTTTTATGTTTAATCTGCATTATTATTTTCTCCATCACTTTCCCAAGTCCAAACAACAAAACAATAAATCTAGCCGTGATTTGTGGTGCATGCAGGTTTCTGAGGTGCAAAATGCTTACGCTGAAGATTTGACATTGGCCTGTCCAATTTGACATTGGCTCCAGCACAGGCCTGGGTTGAAGGGGAAGATCACCAGGACAGCCCTCCTTGGGGATGGGTTTAGAAGAGAATGACTTCCTCTGGTGTTCACCCCTGAATTGCATGTTCAGGGCCAAAGCCAGCTGTGGGAATTTAGAGAAGGGTCCCTTGAGCTTATGTAAAGGGGCTACGGCCTAGAGAGGAGACCAGCTAAATAGGCCCTAGGGACCTAAATAGGCTGGAACCATTGGGGAATGTGACAGAGCTGTCTTCATTTCCCCTGCTTCCCTCCCCAGCCTGTAGTACAGAGAGTCCTGCAAAGAGAATTAGAAGACCTGGGTTTAATTACTGGATCTGCTCCTTAGTAAACTGTGTGGTCTTGAGTGGGTTACTTTCCCACTCTAGGCCTCAGTTTCCTCACCTGTAAAATGAGAGTGTTAGTCCAGATGATCTCTGAGGGGAATCAATGAACCTGTATTATAAGAGGACTATTGCTGAGAGACAAGATTAGGGACTAGCCCTTCCTTAAATCTGGGGAATTTCTAGCACCCATTCTAAAGGGCAAAGGTTGGGCTGGGGTAAAAGAGGAGAATTCTTATCCTTCCGGTTTCTAGTTCAGAACCTTGGCCCCTACAGTCCTGCCTCCCTCGTGGGGGTCCTGAATGTCTAGTTTCATTTGAGAGCAGAGCTGGGATGAGGCTCAGGAAGTCTTTATCTAACTCTTTGTCTTTGTCTCTTTCTGTCTGTTTCTCTACTTCTCTTCTCTCCCCCAACCCCATCCTGACCCCGCTACCTTGCAGATTTTGTGGGCTCTGCGGTAAGTTCTGTGTTACGGCCTGGTGGGGAGGTCCCAGGGTGGGGGGTCCTCCCCTGTCCAGTTTCTCACTCACAGGGACCCTGAAGGGCAGGATCTCAAGCCAGACAATGATATGAGCTCAACTTGTCCAACTTTCCCTCCCCAATCCCTCCATTTGAACCCCTGGGGCAGACCCTGACATCAGACTACTCTCACAATTGGGCTGCCCTCTTGCCTTTCCCTGCCTACCTCCCAATCTCTAGTCCTGGCCAAGGGAGCAGGTGGGGGTGGCTTCCTGACCTCACACAGGCCTTTCCCTCTGGACCCAGAGAAGGCCTGGGTTCTGGTTCCCAATGACACTGGACTTTAAAGAGAACCAGACTTCCCTTGAGCCTCTCTGGGTTTCCTTTCCCCATTGTCCACTCTAACTTCACTGAAGGCATCAGGGCCATATTAGGCCTCCTCCCAGGCCACAAAATTTGCAATCACCAGTGGTGACTCAGTGACCAAACCTTTTGGTTCCAGATCATAGGGGAAACCCCTTTATCCTTCTGGGGTTCCTTTTCCCTCTCCCTTCCTGGCACTGGCCCTCTAGGGTCCCCACCCACAACTGCAGGTTCAGTTCTCAGTTTGGGGGCTGCCCCGCCTGGTGCTGACTCCCTCTGTCCTGGCCCCCCTTCACCCCCCCCCCCCCCCCGAACATAACAGAGATGCTGCCACTGGGCCTTGCCCTCTCTGGAGGCCCCGGACTGGACTCTTTCCCGCCTTTTTCTGCCAACGACGGTTCAGTGACGTGCACCTCGAAGCCTCAGATGCTGCCAACCTCCCTCGGGCGGCCTCCCCGAGACCCTGCTCTCCCCACCCAGCTCACCTAAGATGAAGATGACCTGCCTGGAGGGAGGGAGCATGGAGTCCTGGGGTCATTCACCCCCTCCTCTCTTCACCCACCATCCCACTGGCCACTGACCCCACTGCTTTCATGGGGACAATTGCAGCTTTGTGTCAAGACAAAAAGATCAACTGAATTAACTGCCAAGATTCAGAGATCCTGGGGAAAGGTCCTGGACAGCTTTTCCCCCGTCTCCCTATGTCCAGGATCCCCTGTCTCCTTTTCTTGCCCTTTCATGCTGAACAAGAACAAGGACCTGGGCAGGGAGGGAAGGGGGTTGCTTTCATTCTGGATTGGGCTCCAATCTCTTCTTGACCCCGTCTCGGGAGGTCTGCTCCACAGACTGGGCCCAGCCTCAATGCCTCTCACCTGCCCCCTGGTCTGGGCCCGTTTTGTACAGCACAGAATTCTCAGTTCTTTTGTTGGCGGGGATGGGGGAGGGAGAGTGGAAGAGGGGCCCAGAGACAACATTCCTCTCCTCCATCTGCCAGTGGCAGAAACTGTCCTGTTTCTTTGATACTTTTATGTGCAACTTGAACTTGCAGCTCACCTCCAAACAGGGTACTCCCCATCCCACCCCCCAAACCTGCCCCCCCCCATATCCCCATCTTCTCTCTGCACCATCCCCTCTCCAACCAGGGGACTCCACCACTACCACTTTATGCTTTAAGCCCATTGTTTTGGAGACTTGATGGGGCTGTAAATGGGGCCAAGTTAACAGGTGAATGTGTGTGTGTGTGTGTGTGTGTGTGTGTGTGTGTGTGAGCACTAGAGGTAGTCACAGAGAGAATGGGCTTCTTGCCTTATCTCCTTCCCCCATCCACCCACCCTCTGCCTTTCTTTCCAGAGTGGAGAGATGGAATGAGTGGCACCAGGGGAAGTTCACGGGGTCCACTGGGTTGTAGGAACAGAGCCACTAGCCTTGGGGACCTCAGTGGGGTTTGAACCCCTTCTTTCAACTCTTTCCCCATTCCTCTCCAAAAGAGTGGGTGTCCCCATTCACTCTCTGTCCCATTGCTCATGCCCACGGGATTTAGATTGGATTATGAAGATCTCTCAAAATAGCCCGTCACAGTGGATTAGAACCTTTGCTTATCCCCTACCCTACCAGGAAAAGACAGAGCTCCTGTTTCCATACATCCAAGTCCCATCCCCTTTCTAGAGCTAGGAGGCTAGGTCCTGGATGGTTTGAGATAGGGGTTGATTCTCAGAGGTCTTAGACCTTCTCAGACCCTCTTCTTTCTTTCCCCACCCAGGGGAATCATTCCATTCATACACCTCCACTCTGGCCCCAGCACTGTGCTCCCTTCTGACTCCTTCCCCTCCCCTCCCCAAAGAACTTCATAAAAAAACTCAACCCAAACCACACAGCAATGCTACAATACAGTTAGAATGAAAGGGGGCATGCTGATTCCATGATCCAGTGAAGCGACAGGATGCCACCATCTACATCCCTAAGGTGAGGATGGACTCATCTGGGGATGGGAGTGGTATGCAAATGAGCTCTTTGAACATACACCCCGAAGTTCAATAGAAGGCTCCAGGTGAGGGGAAGGCACATAATTGCAGGAAAATGTAGAGACATGATGGAGAGAAGGGACCTAGGGAGCACAAAGGCTACAAAGAGTGAAAGGAGAGGAGAAAGAGAATGGTGGGGAAAGGAATAGGAGGATGGGGAGGGAGGGAGAGGAACACAGATTTGGAGAGAGAAAGAAAAAAGGGGATAGAGAGGAGAAAGGTTGACAATGGCAGAGTGAGGGAGAGGAAAACAGGTGGATAGAGAGGGAAGGAGACATTTGGAGAGAGACAGGTGATGGGTAAGAGGGAAAGAGAAGCAGAGATGAACTGAGGCAAAGGGAGACAGATGGAGAAAAGGAAAGGCTTACAGAGACTTGTAGAAGAAGAGGGAGACAAAGATGGGAGAAAAGGATAGGAAAGCAGATCTGAAGAGGGAGAGATGGGAAAGGAAGAGGGGTACAGAGACTAGAGAGAGATTTGAAGAGGAAGGAGGAAAGGCTGGAGAGTGGGAAAGGGCAACAGGTGGGGAGAAAGAAGGAAGGGGAGTTAAAATTGGGGAGAGAGGGAGAGGGAAACAAGGACAGGGAGGGGGGAAAGATTTTGAGAGAAGGAGAAAGAAACAGGTAGAGAGGCAGAGATGGAGAGAAACAAAAGGAAACATGGAGAGAGGAGACATTTAGAGAGTAAGAAAGAGAAGCAGGAGCAAGGGGGACAAAGTTGGGGATAGAGGAAGAGGGAAACAGAGAAGAGAGAAGGAAAGGTAGAAACTAAAAGAGGGAGAGAAATGAGTGGAGAGGGAGAAGGAGGCAAAGATGGGGAGAGACAAAGGGAAAAGGAGAGGAATGCAGAGATTTGGAGCGAGGAGTAGGGAGAGACAGGGAAAATGGAGGTGGACAGAGCTGGAGAGCAAGAAGGAAAGAGAAGAGGGAGACAAATGGGGAGAGGAGAGGAAGACAGGCAGGGAGAGACAAAGACAGACAGATGGGAGAAAAGAGGGAAGCAAAAAAATTTTTTAAAAAGAAAACCAGGAAGCAGAGATGGGGAAATAGACACTGAAATAGATGAGGAGAGAGGAAAATGGAGATGGGGAAACAGGAGACAGAGATAAGAGAGACCAACATGGGGAGGGAGATAAATAGAAATGGGGAAAGATGAAGAGGAAACATTGGGAGGGAGAGGGACAGTGGGGAAAGGAAACAGCTGGAAACAGGGAGGCTTAGGTAGGGAGAGGAACATGGGGAGGGAAATGGGAAGAGACGGAGAAGGAAGCAAGAGCAGAGGGAGAGAAAGAAATAGGAAGAGGGTAAAAGGGAAACATGAGAAGGAGGAGGAAACTTTGGAGAGTGGAAGAGGGAGACAGAGATGGGGAGAGGGAGGTGATGGGAAGAAAGGGAAACGTGGAGAGAGCAACATGGAGGGAAACAGATGTGGAGGGAGGGGGAAGGAAAGGGAGACAGGGATGGATAAGAGAGAGGGACAGATGAGAAAGGACAGGGAGTTGGATAGGGAGAAAGGGAGTGGTCATCATATGAGGAAGGAGAATGACAGATATGGAGAGATGGAGGAAGGGATGGGGAAAGTGACTATTACTGTGAGGAGAAGAAAGCTTACACCCAAAAGGTTGAAAATTCCAATGTTGCAACTGAAGAATGAGGATATAAGGCCCCCTGTACATCTCAACTAGTCAGGGTGGAATCACTTGCCTGAGCCTGGGCTGTGGTTGGGGATGGGGTGGCATACAGTGTATCCACCCTCCCCAGAAAACATAGTTGTGCTTTCCTGAGTCTTTCCTCTCCAAACACTCTGGGACAGGGTTCTGCTGGAAATCCAACCCTAACAGGCTAGAGTAGAGGGGCAGGGAACTGAGGGCTGTTTCCTTTTGCTGAAAGAGTAGGGAATGAGGCGGCATAGTGAGCTTCATCAGAGGACAGAGCTCCTATTCTGACAAAGCTGAGCCTGTGGAGAAGAAGGGAGGTTGGATACCCAGAAGACAGGGCTGCAGGGAAAGAAAGAAAGGATGGTCTAGCCTCTCTGAAGTTATAGCCCAGGGCTTCTCCCCAGGGAGACATGAGCAGACTGAGAGGATCTGGGAACGGGTTTGAGAGCAGGGGAGGCTGAGGGACGGTAGGCTCTCATGGAACACTGCAGTGATACCTGGCCCAGGAGAAGTTTCTCAGACATCTGATCAGGATCACCAGGTTGCATCAGACATAATGCTTTGGCCAGCATTATATAAATGGGGCTGACGCCTACCCAGGGCCCTCTTCTTTGGCAGCCCATAAACATGAAAGAGTTGTTGGAGTACTAGAGGAGGAAGGGGGTAGGCTTGCTTGGGCTGATTCATTCATAGGGGAATGAGGGGATAGAAGCAGAAGGGAACTCCATCCAGTGTCTAGACTTAGGAAGCCTAAAGGGGACAGCTAGACCTTGGGCTCCAATGAATGAATAAATGAAAAAGCATTTATTAATTGCATACTCTGGGCAAAGCATTGTGCTAAGTGCTGGCAATACAAAGAGAAAATCAAGACAGTCCTGCTCTTAAGAAGCACACATTCTAATAGAGGGAGACCACACACATAGGAAGTTTCAGCTGTAAATCAGGTGAAAAGGTCCCTTGTCCTTAGGGTGCAGCATCTATACAGATGGTAATGCCTGTTCTTCAACAATGTCTTCTAGGCACCTGAGCAGTATAGGGTGGCAGCCATATCTGAATGAGTTGTCTCCAGAGACAATCCTGGAAGCCTGTCACTTCTGATTGGGACTGAACAAGTAAGGCCAACCTAAGCCGGAGGTTCTTAATGTGGGGTTATTAGATTCACAGATAAATTTCAGGGGGTCTAATGAATTTGGGTGGGAAAAATTGTATCTTTATTTTCACTAACCTCTAACTGAAATTTAGCGTTTCCTTCAATTATTTGAAAACATGATTCTGAGGATTCCATAGGCTTCACCAGACTGGCAAAGGGGTTCATGGCATGAAAGTTCAGAACCCCTGTCCTGAGCAGAGGCACTTCAACTTTCCCCCACTCCTCTACCCTGTCCCAGAAAGACTCTGGGAGCAGGAAGTGACCCAGCCTCTTGGACATGCCTAGGTAAGGTTTACCGAGTCAAGGTGATATCTATTTACCCTGAGTTGGGAATTCTCAGAGGGACTGACTTTAGTGGAGGAAAATTCCATCTTTTGGAGACCCAGTGGAAAAGACTGTTCAGTCAGGGGGTTGACAGATAATAGGTTTCAGGCAGAACCTTAAAAACTCCACAGAGGTCATCTATTGAGATTCATGGCCTAGTGATAGTGGGAAACCAGAGACAGGGTGCAGGTTCCAGGCTTTCATGTTAATAGAGGAAGGAGGGATGGTTATGTCAGAGTTCAACAAACCTCTGTAAAGAAGTGCCCTCCTTCAGATGGGACTGGAGTGAAACTTGGGAAACGAAGACAGGAATGTCCTTTCTACAAAAGCCATGTCCAGTCAGTATCTCAGCCAAGTTGGCCCTCCCTCAGATGCCACCCTTCCTCCTGGCCTGGGGTTCCTGCCAGGTGGAGTTGGGGTGGGAAGGGGGAGCTCCAGTCCCCACACGGCTGGAAGCTTTGTCCTCAGTGGTGGTGGTAGTGGTGGCGGCGGCAAAGGTCCTGTGACATCTGTTGTTAGCCTAGCTTGGTCTTGTGAATACTTCATCAGTCAGTATAGTTTGAGTGTTATCTCCACTCTTTGTTGTTAAGACATGGCAACCTCAGTTTAGGTCCTGGAGCCCCTTTGATGCTGGACTTTAGCTTCACAGCAGGTGGAATGGTGTTCAATAAAGGAATTTACATCACCAGTTTGCATTGCTTATTCTGATTGAACTACTCTCAGAGAGCTCAGTGAACCATGGAGTGGCATCCTTAGTGGGGTTTTTTTGGGTGTTCACAATACTTCCGCTTTCTAAACTAGCCAGCACCAGTGCCTGGCCATCTCTAAATTTGTGCTGGCAAAAATCTACCTTTTCATTATACAATAAGAGTCACAAAGCTATTCTTGCTCCTTGACTCAGTGATCCTACTTTTAGGACTATTCCCTAAGGAAGATATTGACAGAAGAGAGACCTAACTATGCATGAATATTTGGAGGCAATATCTGTGATATGAAAAAACTGGAAATAATCATTGTTATCTAGAGACACTAAGATAACTTGGATAATCCATGGCATATGAATACAGTGGGGTATTATATATTTGTGCCATAAGAAATTAGAAGAAGGGCAGCTAGGTGGCACAGTAGATAGAGCACCAGCTCTGGAGTCAGGAAAACCTGAGTTCAAATCTGGCCTCAGACACTTGACACTTACTAGTTGTGTGACCCTGGGCAAGTCACTTAACCCCATTGCCTAGCTCCCCCCACCCAAAAAAAACAAACAAAAAAAAGAGAAAAAAATTTTTAAAAAAAGAAAAGAAATTACAAGAGAATGTGACATAGTGGAGAGAGGGTTGGCCTTGTATGGTAGAACTGAGAGTGCACCTACTGTGAAATTACTGGATCTGAGTTCAAATTCCACTTCTAATGCTTGTTACCTGTGTGATGCTGGATGAGTCCCTTGACCTCCCTGGGCCTAGGTTTCCTTATCTACACAATGACACAGCTGGATTAGATGGACTCTGAGGGCCTTTCTAGCTGTAAGTCTATGATTCTATGAGTAAGAAAGACTTGGATTAAAGTCTTGTTTCTGACATACAGACTGCATGGTCTTGGCATGACCCTTAACCTCTCAGTGACATTCTATAAGATGATGTTATAGATTGAGATAACTGGACCTATGATTTTATTGGTATAGGGAATGCTAGTAAAGAAATTCCCTCTACCAATGCAGACTACTAAATTAGTCTTAGATAGTTGCCTGAAGCACTGAGGGGCTAAATTTCCCATTTGCATTGGCAAATGGAATTTATATACAGCCAGTTAATGACATCAATGAAATGGTCAGACTTCCTCCCTACCTCAATCATTTTCTGACCCCCAAACATGAAGAAAATAATGAAACATATCGAGACTTAAAAGAAACGGTGCAGACTGAAGGAAGCAGCATCAGGATGATAATATACATACTCGAGACAAGTATATAAACAATGATAGGATTGGGACAGCATCTGGAAAAGCACGAGGAGTTCAGAAAGGGAACATGGAAATGAATGGCATTTTTGTACTCTCCTATTAAAGGTCAATTGATGCATTAAAAAAAAACCCCTCCAAATTGCAAATAATGGTTATGAGCCTTTTCCATTCCTTTGGGTTGATCTGAATGCTTGATTTTGTTGTTGGCGACTAACTTGTGAATTATAGAAGGGAAAAAAATCAGCTGTCATCCCTAAGGCAGTTAGTGTAGGTCTTACGTTCATTTTAGAGATGAAGAGACTGAAGTACTGAAAGAAGGGACTTGCTCAAAATTATTCTTGTTATAAGTAGCAGATGCAGAATTTGAATGCATATTATCTAACTAAATCCAGAGTACATTTTCAGCTATGGTTCCAGATGCTGTTGCCATACCTTGGGAAACAATGGACAGTGTTGCTACTGCTTGCAAGGCTGGAGGTGCATGGGACAGTTTGACTTGACCA